CCTGGACCATGCTAAGATTTTACCGCAGCTATTTATCTAGCAACCACACTAGGTGGTTTGGATAGGTATTGAGGAACATGAGCATCCCATTCAAGGCGTCTACCCCAGATGGGGAGATCACACAAGTTTCAAGAACAAGGAGGCTAGTTTCCTCAGATACAGAAGGGCAAACTACTTCTACTGGCAAAAAAAGGCTCAGAGTGATTTGGAGGTTCAAGATTATCAGTTTCATCTGGACCAACCACATGTCTCTATTCTAAATTTCATTATCTCATTATTTGCTAAACAGCACCCTAACTTTCCCATCAGAAACTCTGCAAGGCTGAATTCAACAGATGTTGTAATTCAGTAACCTGCACAACTAAATCAAGATTTTCATCAAATTTTCAGTAAAATCTGACTCTTCCTGATGTCAGAGTGACAGGAGTAAGTAATGAAATTAGTTCCTAAACATAAGAGGGACTACAACTAATAGTTAATATTTATTAAGTACTTACCATGTGTCAGGCACTGTGCTAAGTGATTTATACACACTATTTGGTGTCATGCACCACTTAAATCCTTTACTGAAGTCAGAATAAAGCCCCAAAGGTCTGCCATGGGCTTTTGGGTCCTGAATGATCTGCACCCTGCCTACCTCCCTACCTCTCTGATCTCTCAGTTAGTTTAGAAATGTTCAGCCATATTCAAGTATATCTCCTTTTGACTCTTCTCAGCTTTTATGTCACCTCCTCCAAGCTGCCTTTCTAAAGCAGCTCATGTCATTAGTCTTCACATTGAGGCCATGCTTTCTTACATCACTTGTCACAATATTGTTTTATTTATTGTTTTTATTCTTTTACTTATCGTGTGTTTATTATTTTATGATGTTTATTTATTGTGTATTTATTATTATTACTCCAGGAAACTCTACAACTCAGGCAGAAACCATCTCTGCATTGTTCACATGTGCACATCACCAGGGAAAATGCTCTTGGCGGGACCAAATTAACTTACTCCAGGTCAGTCACAGCCAATTAATGCCCTAAGCCTTGGGGTCTTCCAGCTGAAGCTGGTCACCATCAAGGCTGACCCTGGGAACCAAAGAGGGTCTATGCCCAACACGCTATTGGAGGGCAACATGGCAGGGCTGACAAGCTCAGTGACCAAAAGTAAGCACACAGGACGATCTGATGGTAAATTCCGAACTGGACAGGTCATGGCGAGTCGTCACATCTCAGCTTCCTTCATAAAGGTCAATCATTACCTTCACAGAGCCCTGTCCACTGTTCTTACGCATCTAAGATAACATACTCTTGAGATGTCAGAGTAATTTTCTTTTCCAGACCCCTCTGAGGCATAACCACAGGCACCAGAGCACAAGACCACAGAGCACAAAATGTGAAACTCCTCATTCATTGTTACCTTGTTTTCTGCATACCATGTCTACATGCTGTACATGTTCATTATTAACTATTCTGTACCCACGGAGGTAAACGAAGTACGTACCACTCCATTTTACTTGTTATACAATCCTAGAGATTCCTCTCTCTCACACACACACACACTTGGCTTTCTCCTGCCTCTAATCTACCACCAATGGTTTCATGCACTTTCTTGCATCTCCTCTTTTGCTTCTATCATGTAAAATAAGCTGCAAAGCTGCCGTTCATCAGACCACTTTCTGAATTCATTGAGATTTTGCTTCCAGGTATGTCCTCAAAATCAGTCGCAAACTCTTGTGAAACTTATCTACAAGTTTGGAGGCTTTTCCCTTCGCAGCCCCATACTCTGAGGTGAAGCTCATCACAGTTCCTCCCACCCTCCGATGGCACAGACGGCAGACAGGGTCTTTACTCCAAGGGAACACAAATCATCATCATATAATTACCATCACAAAAGTGGCGCGTCCTTCTCATGCTGGTGGCACTAGCCGTCCACTGCCAGCTAGGGGCCGAAGTCACCACCTCCCCCTGAGGGGACCTCTGTCGGCGTGCGGAGCCGCCCAGCGGCAGCCCACGGGGCTCCCCTCTGCGCAGGCGCACACCGCTCTCTTCCGCTGGGGGCGGGGCTTGTGTAAGGTCCTGCTGGCGGCGCCGGGAGCTTCTGCTGCAGTCCGCGCCCCTCGCCGGCGTCTGCATGGATCTTGGGGACCGCCGAGGCCCGGGCGCGGCCCCGGGGCTGATCTCGGCGACACCAAAGCCGGGGCAGGAGCCGAGGACAGGGGCCGAGGCCGGGACTCCCGACCCCGGTGCCCTCCCAGACCGCCGCTTCCTGCTCTGTCTCTACCTGGTTGGCTTCTTGGTGAGTGCTGGGGCTGGGTTCCAGGTGCAGACTAGGAACCCAATTACGGGTGCTTTTTCTTGAAGCTCCGGGGTGGTTATAAGGCACAGCCAGCGCTGGGAACCTGAGACCTGCCTAGTGGTGCCTGCCTACTAATCAAGCCTCCTTTTGCCCCATAACCCCTTCACTCTGCACCACAGGGCCATACTGCACCTTGCGCTTTTATTTGGAGTGGGGTTCACAACGCCCAGTCCTTCGCAGCCGGTTAAGTACCAACCCCCAGCCTTAGGTGTTACTCGTGGACCAAGCCTAGTGGGAAGGTAATTCCAGGTGTTAGATGATGTGGCAGGTGCTAGGCATGCATGGTAGAGAGCAGGGCAAGCTTGGGAGAGCCCAGCGGTGCAGTGGCTGTGGTCGGAGCACACAGGCCTTTTTACCAGGTCTGGGAAGTCGCTGTTGATGGCCCCACTTGCACAGAATTAGGCACATTTTCATTAGGATTTCTGGTAAACTGGGACGTTTAAAAATGCAAGTCACAGTGAGAGATGCACGTCTGCATTTTGATAAACTATATATTGCACAATGCAGGCTTTTGTCTAGATTTGTGTGTCCTGGATTAATAAGGTTATCCATTTCCCATGTCGAAGGGAAAGCTTAGAAAGCTGCATGTATGGTAGGGTAAGTCATTCATCCATCCACTCATTTATTATTCCTGGAATTCCTGGAAACCTGATATGTGATAGATGCTGTGGAGCTCCATTTTCTGTAATACACAGTCTGTTTCCAAAAAAATTTACAGCCTTACTAGTAAGCTTGTGTTGGTTGTTGGTGGACCATTGTCTGCAGGAACCCTAGACTCACCTTTTCATTCCTCTCTTTCCAGATCTAGGCCTGGCTCAGTTGCCCTGGTTGTGAGCTAATTCAGGTTGGGACAAAATTGGGACAAGAACCCAGTAGGATTTCCTCTTGATTGGGCCTGAGACTGTATCTTAATAAATGGAGCTGGAGCTCATCAGTGTCAATGAGAGAATGCTGCCCTCTGAGACCTTGAAGATAGTCCCTGGGCCTTGGCAAAGGCGAATTATTGTTTTCTGCCTAGATGGCAGGTTAAGACCACTACTTCTCCCTGGTCTGGCACCTCACTTGAGTTAGGACACTGAGTCACCCTTAGCTAGGAGAGGAGTGGGAAGGAACTCTTCCTCCCTCCCTCTCCTCAATACAAGCTGTTCAACGGTCCTTAAAGGTTTAATGTTGAATTAATAGTTGTTAAGACAGCAATGAAAGCATATTCACCATATTGCTGTAAACACAGAACCATGAAACACTTAAGGAGGGCGGCTTTTCAGAGAGAATCTCTGCCTCCAGTACAGTTAACGTTACAGCCCTCACCTCCAGCCTTAATACCTTTGAGTTCAGAGCCTGGCATTCCTTCTGATCCCGTTTCTTTACTCTTAGTTGAGTCTCAAGGTGCAGGTGCCTCTTCCACCTTCCAGACCAGTCACCTAGAATTCAAAAGTTAGAATTCAATGAGTGTAGGTGGTTCTTCAGAATGGAGTTGGCTGCCATCCACCCTTTGGTAGGAGATGGGGATCCAAGCTGCTGCTACCATACCTCACATGGTACTACCATGTGGTTCTGCCAGATGAATAGACTTTGGACCCTCACCTGAAAACACAGTTTTGGGAACCAACATGACCTAGATTTCAAAATAGTTTGAGTTTTCAAAAATAAATTTGCAGATCATTCTTTATGGTTGGCCCTCTGATACAGATTTGATATTCAGAACTTCTCATATGTTGGCTTTGTGCTGTGCTAAGTCGAATCTAGCAAATCTGGTGTGAAATTTTAATAGTTTATTCAAGAGAATCATTAGGTCTCTAATATCTTCAGGGGAAATGTAAGATCTTCCAAAAGTTAAAAGAGAGTAATGATTTTTTAAATGGAAAATGTTGTAAACAAAATACATGCAGCTTTGGGTATTCTTGAAGCATCTGTTAGGTAACAACATAACTTAGGTATTATTTTTAATATATTTAGAGATGTGAAGGACCCCTAAGACTTTTGGGAAAATGGTTTCCGAATGGGAGAGGAAAGGACCAAGATTAAAGAAGTCATTTGCCCAAATATTCTGTTTTTAGCTCATCTCTGTGCTTCTAGGTTGTAACTGGTTTAGGAAGGAAGACTAAGATGACCGTGTAGGCCCTTTTTGGTAGCACACTATGCGTGCTGCAAACATCTATGATTTCAGACGCTTCTTTCCTCCAGGTACCTGGTGAGATTTGTATTTCATTTCATCAGCTTTAGTCAGGTGAGAATTCATTTTTATTGATGTGATCCACAATCAAGAAATATTGGGGTCCCTACCCTGAAAAAGATCCTGAAACCCTTTAATGTATTCATCATTTTTCATTGGGAGATGTAGAAGTTCCGTGAAAAGAGTTAAGTGGCCCCCTCTCACTTGATTTTCAGGTGCCAAATTCGAAGTTATCTTTTACAGTAAAGGGGAAGACAATTTTAGAGCAGAACTTCCAGAGAGGAAAGACCTTGAATTCAGCCTCTTTGGAAAAATATAATATTTTTTAGGCTAATAAAATATTAAAATAACACCGATCATCCATTATTGCTTACGAGTCTTATGTTTTTATATTTATCTTCCATAGACCTCAGCCTATCTACTTAAATACCTCTCTCCCATCCTTTATCTAGAATAATCATTTGAATATTAAATGACAAGCAGTATAGGGAATTTTTTTTTTGGTGGGGGGTGGGGGGGCGGAAATCTGGTAGGACAGTCGAGTTTCTTTTTCTTAAAGATCCAGAAAATGCAATAGGTAGCTGATGTATATTGAGTCGTTTAAATGATATAAAACATCTGTAGACTGATGGGTCAAAGCTGACAATAAAGCCCAAAAGAAATTGGTGCAGACCCAAAAGAAATTTTAAATACAGTAGTTCCCCCTTATCTGTGGTTTGGCTTTCTGCAGTTTCAGTGACCTGTGGTCCACCTTTGTCCAAAAATGTTAAGTGGAAAATTGCAGAAATAATTCATAAGTTTTAAATTACACGCCACTCTGAATAGTGTGTGATGAAATTTTGTGATGTCCCACTCCATCCACCCACTAGACATGAATCATCGCTTTGTCCCGCGTATCCAGGCTGTGTATACAAGTACCTTCTCCTTAGTCACTTAGTGGCCATCTTGTCTATCAGATTGACACAGTGCTTGTGTTCGAGTGACCCTTACAGTAGCCTAACACTACATCACAGTGCTTAAATCGGTCACTTCACTTCATCCTATCACACAGGCATCGTATCATCTCATCACAAGAAGGGTGAGTACCGTATAGTAAGATGTTTTAAGAGAGAGAAATTACACTCACTCTTACTAGAGTATATTGTTATAAATTTTTATTTATTTATTTTATTTTATTTTATTTTTTTAGCTGAGCCATCCTGCTACCTGTTGGCAGCTCAGCGGCTGCTCAGCTCAGGCTGGACTCGAACCGCTGTTGCTCAGAGCTCAAACTCTTGAGCGAGCTCTTAACCAACTGAGCCACTCAGCCGGCCCTTATAAATTTTTATTTTAGAATTAATTATTGTTAACCTCTTAGTGTGACAAATTATTAGTGAAACTTTATCATGGGTTTGTGTGTATGGGAAAAAACAATATTAGGAGTTGGTACTCTCTGGCTTTAGGCATCCACTTGGGAGTCTTGAAACATATCCCCATGGATAAGGGGGGACTACTGTAATCTTATAATCAGAACGATAAGTTATAGTTCTTATAGTATAAATTTATGAGTTATAAGATCACTATTTGGATAGTAAATATATGGCCATCTAAAGATATAATCATGGGAGAAAACACGGAAAGATGCATTTGGAAGTTCATGTTTCTATAATTTGGTGAATATACAGCCACCAAAAGAAGCAGGGACAAAAATATTAATTGTAGGTCCAAAGAAAAAATATCTTTTATGCATTCCTTTCTGTTTAACCAGGATTACAGAAAAAGAAATTCAGGTTGAATATAAAGAAAACTCTGTGTGTGCTATGTGTTTTTCTTCTTAGCCAGTTGTAGCAGGTGACCAACTGAAGTAGGAATGAGAACAGTGCTTAAAGGGAAAATTAGCAGCCTCTCTGTTAACTCAGAATAACTAGCCAAAAGGATCAGCACTTATTCCCAGAACAGAAGAAAAGAGAAAATATGTTTGCACTTCTATTGTGTGTCAGACCTTTCTCAACCATTACGTCTCTTAATGTACATCGTATTTCTACCAGCCATGTATTACTATCCCCATTTTTTACAGACAGCAGCACTGATGCTTGGTAACATTAGCTTCCCAAGGACACATCTTTATTTGTAGATGTTAGAGCTGGAATTGAGAACTGTCTGTCTGACTCCAAAGCGCATGCACTTTCGATGACTTAGCTGCAGAATGCGGTCTTCCATCAATATACCAGCCTTCTCTCTCCTTCCTGCTTTACTGAGACTTTCTTTCCAGGTATTACCTTTTAAGTCTCTACACCACAGATCAATCACCTTCCCTAATTGCAGGAGGAAATTCATATTTTTAAGTATGTGCTGCTTTGCCAAGAAATAACACATTATTGCTACCTCCTTTCCCACTTCATTACCTACAAAAATTCTGTTTGTTTGTTTATGTATTTATTTAATTTGAGGAAATTCTATAGCACATCGTCCTTGAATATTAAGGACCAGTTACAAAGAAGCTAAAGTTCAAATGGATTCGAGGTCAGGATGGTTCAGGCATGTATAGGTATCAGCTGTTACATTGTATTTGGATCTCTGATAATTTTGCCCTGATGAGTATACCATAATATCATATACAATTAGGATTTCTTGTTTGCTCAAAGTTTTAGATAGTGATTTTATTTGTAAAATCAGTTTAGAATAATGATCACCACTGAAAAAACACCTAGCCTTCCATTTCTATTTTATCAGTGTTTTGTTGTTTAGGATTTGTTTGGTATCAGCATGGTTGTACCTTTATTGAGCCTTCGCGTCAAGTCTCTTGGAGCAAGTCCCACAGTCGCTGGAATAGTAGGTGAGTGGTTAATAGTGCACATTTTCAGAGCACTGAAATCTAAATCCCCTTAATGAATTAAGTACCTAAAAACAAAGCAGTCTTACAGCTAAATATCATTATCCAAAGGTAAATTGAAAATTGGATAAAATGAATTTTCAGAATATTTAAAGATATTACCCTGGAGCAAATGGAATTCATCTTTTCCGAGACTACCTGTGTTCAGATTTAGCGTTATCCCCGTGCCCCGTATCACCAGTGATGGTACACCTGCTAACTGAGCCTCTCCAAGGTGCTGGCTGTGTAAAGGGTAGGTTGGACTCCTGCCTGCAGGAGTCTCTCACCTCTTGTGAGAGACCAGAGAACTATGATCTACAGAAATCACACCACACAGGAAGGGGATTTGGGGTGAACCTTTGCAAATCAGTCACAAACTTCCCACACCATCACATCTTAGAGGGCTGTAGGGTCTCTCTATCTGTGCAGCAGCATAAAGTCTCCATCCGGAAGTCATTGATTTACCAAAGAGGCTGGAAATAGCAGAGCTTAGGACTGCGCTAATTAATGCAACATTGTTAAGTCTTACAGCCCTTGATCATTCACAAGCTGGAGAAGCAGATGTTTGAGGAGAGTGTTGTACATAATACTCAGTAATTCCTAGTCCATGCCATGATTTGTATTTCCCTCAAAAAGTATACTTGGAATTATACTGGACCACCCAGCAGCATAAAGGTTTTTATGAAGAACGGAAGAGACATGTTGTGATATAACGGAGGTGAAAGCACTCCATAAAACTTTGTAAGTTCTTTATAAAACTAAAGCATTTTAAGAAAACTGAAATGTTAGGGACATATAAGATAATGTTAAAACTTCAAGACTCGGTAGAATCTTTCTAGGATTCGTATTTCTATTTCTACTCCCCGGAGTACTCTATGCAGCCTTCTCCAATGGAGCTACTCACTCCTCACTTAGTGGAAGGAGGACTGTCTTTCCGGGTCCCTAAGGGAAGCCCTTCCTGTAGTTTCTGTTCTGCTTACCTTTAATTTTATTTGGAAGGCCTTTTATTAGAAATTGTATTATTTATACTCTTCCAACTGAAAAAAAAA